TGCTTTGTTAAAAACAAAATATATTAGGAAATGGGAAAGGACTTTTCCATCGCAGTGCAAATGATCATAAAAGATGATGCCAGAAAAGCAATTGCATGACATGTACTCTGTAAGTTGTAAGATGACATGTTCTTGCATTTCAGATGAAAAAAACTGTGTGTAAATTCTCAGTTTGCATTTTGTACCTAGTCTGCATTTTGTACCTGTTTTGCAGTCTGCATTTTGTACTGACCGACGTGGCATTTGTGTTTATGATCTCTTCAGCTTGTATTCATCCCATAAAGTCTATATTCGACCATCCCATAAAATCTGAAGCTATGATCCTTAGCAAAATAGGCTTCACTGCTCCTATCTCTCCAATCTACCTTGAAAATAATCTTATTGATGTTGTGAGTCGCACGACATGTTTGGGATTATTCATTGTGAGACCAAAGTAGGTTCTATGTTGTTACTTAAACAGTGAAACAGACTTATAGCCACAATAAAATTTATTTATACAGGAAATTACCAAAAAAGAAAAGGGTGATTGCAAGCAAATCCACAGTAAAATAGGTCACCCACTTGAAGTTAAACTGGAGTTACTTTTCGTGGAACAATAGCAGGAAATTCTTATGATTTTGAAGCTAGATGGTGACATGAGGGAAATTTATGATGCAAATTAATACCGTGTGTGGGATGATTTGATTATCGTAGGAAATAGTTTCTGCAGATGCAATTCTAAAACTATGACAAGAATATTGTAATGTCATGCATTTTGTGAGCCTGGTCACAAATTAAGGCTTACATGGGCCATGCATGTAGACCATGTGAGGAAATCTTTTGCACATCGAAGTGCTAGAGGAAATTTACTTCAAATCTCTTGTACCAGCGGTAACTTATGGTATTGTGGTGTCGGGAAACTGCAGCTGTTCTATTATGGACTCTTTAAACCCTGTTCAAGTGAGATCTGCACGAGTTATCTACCAGGATGAAAGTCTTGCGAAGCTGAACTGGCCGCTAATTTCTTATATATAAAAATGAAGACTCCTCGCGATGTATGATGTTTTGAGTGATACATCCCCTTTTAGTTTGAGGTTAAACAAGAGACTATCACGCAGGGGCAGTTTACAGATTAAAATCCCTCGGGTGAAGTACAAAGTGGGAAAGGAGTCAACACAATACAGAGGTCCAGTAATGTTGAACTTTAATAATAGGCTGGTGAATTTTTAATGCAAACGTTCAAAAAGACAGTTTTAAAATTATTTTACGTAGGCTCTCACAAGACATAAATAGCATCTCATTCGAAGCACCCAAGATAGCTATGAAAGACCGAGATTTTGTATAATTTTAAGTATTCACTTGTACCTAAGTTTCTAGATTAGCTTGAAATTTTTATTAGTCTATGACTTCATCAGTTTTACCGATTTGATACTGAATTTAATTTTAATTTAATTATGGTCAGTTGTATATTTAAATACTATAGCACAATTTGTATAAACTATTTTGTTTATTACTTCACATTTTATTAGTTAATTGTAGATCCACATCACCCTCACTGGCTGCCAGTAATCTTTGTAACCTGCTTTTCTAAATAAAAATGATAATGATGATGATGATCTTAATTTCCCTGTGTGTTAAACTTTCAGGTGTTGTCCTTAGAGATAAATGTGATCGAAAGCTACCACGGTTGCAGAAAGTTTTCCAGAGAGAGAGAGAGAGGGGGGGAGAGAGAGATTGTAAAGAGGGGTGAACGTGCTCAAGTGGACGAAAAGCAAAGAGATTCCACCGACAAGAAGCATATTTTTGAACAATAACTCAGACTTATCGAAATGTCTTCAAGGGGAGCTCCACGTCAAGATGAGAGTGGTCAATTCGTGGCTGAACAACCTTGTCGTATGGTCATCAAACCTCCCTCAGAACTCCCTGTCGATCGATATCTTATTACACACTACCTTAGAAAATGTCTTGGTAACGAGATGACGTTTCATCACGAGGAAACTAAGAAAACAGATGGCGGGTGTCTCGAATTTATATTTGTGTTTGAGAATAACGAGCAAGGGAGAAGAGCTGAACAGGTACTAAAAGAAAACATTAGTGAGGCTGGAGAAAAAATCGAAGTTTTCATTCTCACGGAAGAAGCACGTACCGAGATGTTTTTGGTCAAGTGCTTAGCAGAGCTTCACGAAAAGATGACAGCAATTGANTATTTTACGTAGGCTCTCACAAGACATAAATAGCATCTCATTCGAAGCACCCAAGATAGCTATGAAAGACCGAGATTTTGTATAATTTTAAGTATTCACTTGTACCTAAGTTTCTAGATTAGCTTGAAATTTTTATTAGTCTATGACTTCATCAGTTTTACCGATTTGATACTGAATTTAATTTTAATTTAATTATGGTCAGTTGTATATTTAAATACTATAGGACAATTTGTATAAACTATTTTGTTTATTACTTCACATTTTATTAGTTAATTGTAGATCCACATCACCCTCACTGGCTGCCAGTAATCTTTGTAACCTGCTTTTCTAAATAAAAATGATAATGATGATGATGATCTTAATTTCCCTGTGTGTTAAACTTTCAGGTGTTGTCCTTAGAGATAAATGTGATCGAAAGCTACCACGGTTGCAGAAAGTTTTCCAGAGAGAGAGAAGGGGGGGAGAGAGAGAGACTATAAAGAGGGGTGAACGTGCTCAAGTGGACGAAAAGCAAAGAGATTCCACCGACAAGAAGCATTGTTTTGAACAATAACTCAGACTTATCGAAATGTCTTCAAGGGGAGCTCCACGTCAAGATGAGAGTGGTCAATTCGTGGCTGAACAACCTTGTCGTATTGTCATCAAACCTCCCTCAGAACTCCCTGTCGATCGATATCTTATTACACACTACCTTAGAGAATGTCTTGGTAACGAGATGACGTTTCATCACGAGGAAACTAAGAAAACAGACGGCGGGTGTCTCGAATTTATATTTGTGTTTGAGAATAACGAGCAAGGGAGAAGAGCTGAACAGGTACTAAAAGAAAACATTAGTGAGGCTGGAGAAAAAATCGAAGTTTTCATTCTCACGGAAGAAGCACGTACCGAGATGTTTTTGGTCAAGTGCTAAGCAGAGCTTCACGAAAAGATGACAGCAATTGAAAAACAGCATGCTAAGAAGATAGAGAAAATCAGTCGTGACATTGAGGATCTTCGTGTGAAAAAGCACGTACCTTTGCACGAATTTGAAAAATTACTCACGGAGAGAAACGTCCTGGAGTACAAGAAGGAGGAACTTGAGTTACAGCTCCAAGAATTTCGATGTTTTGATAGTCACACAAGATCTACTCTGGGCGCCCAAAGAGGGTTGCCAACTTCCAGTGTTATGAGTGCAGTGAAGAAACTAAGAGAAGCATTTGGTAGAGAATGTCGAAGGATCGAAGCAGCCCTTCCAATGTACGCGAAAAAAACCGAAATTACTCAACTGGTAACGAAAAATCAGGTCTGCGTTATTCTTGGAGAAACCGGATCAGGTAAAAGTACACAGATGACCCAATATCTGTACGAGGCTGGTTTTGCTGAGAAGGGATTGATCGTTTGTACCCAGCCCCGTAAAGTTGCTGCGACAAGTTTAGCATCCCACGTCGCTCGAGAAATGGGTAGCACTGTTGGAAAGTTAGTGGGCTGCCATGTAGGAGGAAACGTTCAAGCAAGTGAAGAGACTGGCATTGTGTACGCTACAGACCACATTCTTCTTAATGAGTGCCTAAAGGATTCTAAGTTGTCCAAGTATTCTTGCATAATAATTGACGAGGCACATGAACGAAGCCTTTACTCGGACCTGCTTCTTGGCATGATCAAGAAAAACCTTATTCAGCGTCCTGAGTTGCGAGTTGTCATAACCTCAGCTACCATTAATCCTGCTCTCTTCGTGGCATANTTTGACCAATGTCCAGTACTGAAAGTGTCCGGCAGAATGTTTCCCGTCGATGTAATTTGGAAAGATGGTCCATCTTCCAACGTTGAAAATTATGTTCTAGAGGCTGTGAACACTGTTCAAGAAATTCACCACAAGGAGGATAAAGGGGACATTCTTGTGTTTCTGACGTCTCCTGCAGAGACAGAACGTGCTTGTGATATGTTAACAAAGGTTGAGCAGGATGCCGACCTAGTTTGTCTTCCTCTTCATGGAAAGCTACGTCAAGAGGAGCAAAAGAAAGTGTTCGAAGAAAACAGAGACAAACGCAAGGTGATATTTGCTACCAACTGTGCCGAAACTTCCATTACCATTCCTGGTATAAGGTATGTGGTGGACACTGGTATGGTGAAGGAAATGAAGTTCGAACCGAAACGCAACAAAAGTTCTTTAGAGGTAACAACAATCAACAAAAGTTCTGCTGAACAGCGAAAAGGAAGCGCAGGAAGGACACAAGCAGGAAAGTGCTTTAGACTCTACAGCCAAGAGGACTATGAGGCCATGGAGGACCAATTAAAACCAGAGATCCTAAGGGTTCATCTTGGCCAGGCCGTGCTGAAGCTGATGGAACTTGGTATTGAAGATATCAGAGACTTCGAATTCGTGGAATCGCCACCTTTAGACTCAATAAACCTTGCATTAAAGTTGTTGAATTCTCTTGGTGCCATAGCAAACGGAAGACTTACACAGCTAGGAGGCAAAATTGCTCGTGTTCCGGTAGAGCCTCGCTTGGCCAAGGTTATATTCGAAGGAATTGAAAAAGGTATTGGTGCAGATGCGTTAGCGTTGGCAGCTATAGCAACTGCAGGAGGGAGCATTTTCTTCCGCATGGGAAGCGAAGAGGAGAAGCAGG